AGCAAAAAAGGTGTAGAGGTTAAGAGAGACATATAAATCGAAACTGGGTTTACATTATGTGTCAGATTTGCTTCCTTTGGTCTGGTGCGTGTTTTTTGTGTGTTAAGCACCAGCGTTTAGGAAAGTTGTCAGGCCTTTACCCTGCATGCGGTTGCATGGCCATGTATGAAAAAGGAACAACGTTAGCCGTTCTTGTATCGTTTCCTATCTCGTTTATTTTATTTTCTGTGCTGTGTTTATCTTGCATGGACAGCTGACTTTCGAAAACAAGTTTGCTCTTTTTATGAGTCATTCAGGCAAAAATTCATTTCATCAAGGCACGGTCTGTACTTGCAAAAAATGTTAACAGAGATAACTACCAATCTGAAAGTACTCTATGCCTGGTGAGTCTAATAAGGAAGCAGGAATAGGATTCACGGGTTTGTGTTCAGCTTGGTTAATGTCTTACACGGTCAGGATTGGAGGTTTATGAATGCTTTTCATCTAGCATAGATATTAAGTTAGTCCTTGAAAAATTTATTGAGTCATTTCAGTTCTTGAGTCATTCCAAATTCATATTCAGAGACCATTTACTCAAAAGTGTGTTTCTCTAAGAAGAAAAAAGAGAAGTGCCTAAATTTAGATTGAGTGAATCGAAAATTATTTCTTATGATCTAATAAAATAAAAAAAAACGTTTGTGGTACAGATAATTAGAATAGCTTTGTCATACTTTTGACTAAGGAGGAACACGCATGACTTAGCCTCCCTTCCTCTTATGTAGAATTTACCATTTGCATGTCTATTCCGCTTACTGGTTAAAACTAGAGCTGGGCTTCCTGTTTAAAGGTGCACAATCAAAGGGATTTTCCAAGGTGGCTCTCTCTTCCAAGAAATACTGTCTTATCTGTCCTTATCAGTGCATATATGTTGCGTTCTTTAGAGAACATGTCCTGCATCATGTAAACAGGCTGTGTCTAAATGGGACTGTGAATACTTTTTACAGAAGTAAAGTGTAACTTTTAACTTAACAGAAATTAGGATGGGATTCACCCTGGTCAGACTCTACTGATGCCCAGGAAGTTGGAAAGATTTATTCTTTGATGCTCACAGTGTTACCGAATGAGGAATATTTAAGAATAAGGTCTTATTTTTAGTAAATTAAGTATTTTAAGACTGCATTTGTAAAGGTTTCGAAGCATAGCGGTCCTATAAAGTATTTACAATAATAATCTATTTTCTATAACCCTTAAAATGTTTATATACCAGACGGAGATAAAGGCTTTTAACAATATCTGAATACTGAGAAGGTTTTGGTGGTACAGAAAGCTAACAAAGGTCAGTCAGACTTTTTACTCACTCGTGTTTAGGCTCTAATTTTTCACATAGTTTACATGCCATAAAAGTTACTGCTAATCATGTAGGTCTTACATCAGCATTCATGTAGCAGATAAAAAATGCTGAAGATAATTATCACAGCTAAACCTGCAGTAGGATTATGTTAGGGAGCTTGAACCAACTTTGACAGAATCACCCATATTTCCTGATCTTTGCAGCTAAACAGTTCACTGAAAACTTTTTCTGTGCTTTTAAAGAGTAGACACCCAATCTTTTAATATGTTTGTATTCGAACACCTCTTTTCTAATAGAGGAAAATAAATATTCTGTTCAAGTACTAGAATAGTAAGGGGGATTCTAGATCACATATATTTTAAGCACTTCCTGTTTGTAGGGAGGTGTAGCTGATTTTTAAAAATAGTTTCAGGTTTTAATTATTCATTAGGTTTGAAAAACAATGAAAGTTCCACTTATGATTTAGCCCTGAAGGCTGTGATGTTTTTACAGACAAATTCACCTTCATATTTGTATCTGTAATCTGGAACAAAGTTTTTAATGAAGTCAACCTGGAACCAGAACAGACATATTTCTGATGTTGGCTTTAAATGATTACTCTGTAGATCCCCTCTAAATCCTTGTGAACTAGTTTCACTGTAATTATAATAATTTATGACTTTGCTGTGGGTCCTGTGTGTCAGAATTATACATTACTTTTCTTGTTTTTTTTCTTTACACCCGAATTAAACTTTGTGATTTAATATTAAGTTTTTTTATTTTTTTGTCAGAGAAACACATTGCTCTGTCAACGTTTTAGCAGCTGCGTTGGACGCACTCCCTGACTGCTGTCTACGTCATGCCTGACCTCATCAATGTGCAAAGAGCCGTGCAATGTCCGTCAGTCATGAAGGCCCAAAGGATCCTCTTATGTGTATGGATATTACCCTGACCTGAAGGACAGAGAGCGAGCTAGTGATTACTTCACTAGTAACAGTAGATGCGTTGTGCTGAATTTTGCATGGTCACATTGACCTGGTTGCTCCTCCATTATTCATGGCTGAGATTGGAAAGCAGCAAAATGAATGCAAGCAGACATGCCTGCATTCATGGATGTCTTGAAGACAGGAGCAAAGGAACGTTTAAAAGATTAAATAGCGTGGCAGGTAGAGGAGACAAAGCAGTTGGATTCACTATCTGAAACCTTAGAGCCATGTGACTGACTTGCCTGTGAGTTCATGCCTCTGTGTGCGTGTTTAAACTCTCAGTCCTCCGGGGCAGAAAAGGGTGCGGGAGTAATTCTGCACAGGAGACATAACACTGCGACCATTAGTGCAGCTCACATAACCCAAGCGCTGGCAGCTGACAGACATGCGTAAACACATGGCACCGCTTCTCCTGTATTCAACATGGCTTCAATATTCAACACTTCTCCACCCACCCACCCATACACCATCACCCCCACGACCTCCAGGCCTCCTTTTCCTTGTGCTACACTCTGGCGGCTCACAAATATTTGCCATGGTTCTCTGCAGGCTCTCAGAAGGGAGGATTAATGGTGGTGTGTGCCGCACGCTCGCAGCCAGACAAAGAGTCCCCATCTGGAGCTCCCAACGCGTGACTGAGGGACAGAACAGAGGCAGCACAGAGTCTGGTCTGAGGCGGAGGGGCAGGGGGGGGTCCTATAGGCTCTCCATAAATGAACGGGATTCCTGTTGATGAATGGATGGGGTGTCCATGTCTTTTGATGTGATTGGAAGCAAAGGGGTTGTGAATGCAGGCCCTGGGTCTGGTGCTGTGGCAACATTTCCTCCACCAGCTGATTAAACAGCCATATCTGCATCCATCAGTGGACCCTGATCCAAAAGAATGAGGAATTAGTCAGTGGGACAGGGGGGGGGGCAACTGGAAGCCCTTTTTAGTTCACTTTTCAATAGCAAGCAGGTTTTTTGGGTGTTTTTTTTTTTTTTTACAGAAAAGGTTAATACACACATCAGTTATAACTTTGCGACCACTAACAGAGAGGCTCTGTGTTAATCACCTACTGTTAACATTGCTGTTTCATCCCTTCTGCCTCCGCAGTGCAAAAACTGATCTGAAATAAAGTAAAATAAATATAAAAATAAATGTATTAGCTCTTAATTTGAGCAGCTAAACAAGATGATGTACCAATGGAATGAGCATTCCTGCCCTTACAATACCATAAAAAGATATTATATCCTTAAAACAAGATAAATGAGTTGCTTTTTATTAATTTAAATGTAAATCAAAAAAAGGTTAAATATTTTTTTAAGAAAAATGGCCAACTTGTATTTCATTTTTTGCAGTGTCTTTCAGTCCTGTTATTAAATCTTTTGGCATCGACGTACTTAAATCATATTAAATCGGTTTATCTTTCATTGTTGCTTAGAATTCTTTTATTGTCGTCTCAAAAAAACAAATACATCACTTCATGATCTTATCAATTCTGTTTCCTTTTGAAACCAAAATGTTCTTCTTTTTAAGTGGCGATTTACTTTAAAGGAAAAATTTGAGGACATATCTTTCTCTCACAGCTGAGTCACTTTTTGTTTACTGCAATATTGGATAAAGAAAACAGAATCGTGCTTTAAGTGTCACAAGTCCATATCAGTTCACACTTGCTGATAGCTTTCTGTTTTTCCTTTGTTTTGTTTTGTTTTAGAAATTCTATGAATTGTGTCTCTATATAGTCTTAAAATAAAGTTGTATTTTTACTTAGATATTTTCTTCAAAATATAACTCTATTAGTCTATAGTGGATGGTTCTGCTTTTTAAAATTTTGCATAATCGTATTTTTTCTTTACAGCAAACTGTGGTTTCATGAATTTTTTTGGTGATTAAAAACACTGAAATCCTCCCATAGATAAATTCCACTTTATCAGTTTGTTTAAAAAATATATTATTTCCCTTTTAGTTTTGGTTCTGATTAAAGTCTAGGTCAGTTTATTCCTTGAAGTTAGTGAATTTTATTTACCTACACCCTAAAAATAAGTTGTCAAACCAGGGATGACTTATAAAGTTGGTGAAAGATGACCTATAGCTACAAACGTGTAAACTAGTGAAAACTAGCAGTTTATATCCTCATCTTGCCATTCGTCAGAGTTCAGCCAGTTTATTGGGCACAATGGCACTAGCCTTTGATGAGCTGATGCATTTCCCTTCTGCAAGGAGCCAAATTCGGATGTTTTGGAGAAGAATGTTTTCTATTTTTCTGTCTCTCCCAGTTTGTTTGTATGTTGAAGTTAGAAGGAAACGTTTAGTTCAGAATACACTGCAGCTGATGATAATGATCAGAAACATGCTCTGCTCTGCTTTACTTCTGTCAAGCAGCTGCAAAGATCCCCTTTTATTCCGCAAATAAACACCTCAGCAACATTTATTGGAAATAAGCGTCATTTCTTATTGCACAGCTGTTCATTCTTAGAGACTATTAACATATTTCTACTGGGACATATTTCTACTCAGGCACATTTTCATGCTCTGTTTTCTCACTGTTTTTTTGTGTGGACTGCTTTTTAAGAACTCATATCCAGTGTTTAGGTTCCAATTACAGTTTGTTTAGTTTTTTTTTTTACATTCTGATTGTTTCATATCTAGAGGCCATATGTACAGGATTTCTAATGGAGGCTGCTCCTTCCGGTTTCTTAAATTTTCTCCTGTCATCCTGCAGGCCAAGTGACGAAAGACATCCAACTGTGATCGCCGATGCAACCGTAGACAACCTGGCCCACGCTGTGGAAGTGATCCTCAGTCAGAGAGGGCTAGAAGCCTGAGAACCCTCCACTAGCAGCGGCCTGGAGCGATCCAAGCTCAGCGTTGCCTTGTAGTGTTAACTGACGCCTCATAAAAGCGATTCTTCACATGAGGAGGTTCCTCAGTTTTGAGGTAGTTGAAGAAAAATGTGAAAAGAATGAGCTGAAATATTCTAATGTGGTCTAGCTGCTATAAACTGTTAAACATGTGAAGGGATCGGACATCTGCTTGCCCTACTTGGTGATAAAACTAACTCCAGTGTAATTTATCCGAGATGGTTGTAAATGCTTTCGAACCGCTCTTTGCATTTGTCAGTACATGATTGGCATAGATGGGATACCTCAAGCTTGACACGAACAAGCCTGTAACCAGCTGCTGATTGACAGTTAGATGGGGAAAGTCGTGGCGGCGCATGCTCAGAGTCCTTAGAAACCTGATGTAAACAAGTGCAGCTGAAAAAGACTGACTATTATTAAGTTGCTTTATGTAAAGTAACACTAACTATGTAGACTTGAAAATAAAGATAATTTATCCACTAGAAGTTTTCGCTTCATCTTATTTGGCTTTATATGATTACTTCACATTGGATTAACCTTGGGTTTAAACAATAATAAAGTTTACAAATGGAAATTAATCTCAGAAAAACATTATAACTGACAGCCATGAATTATTGAGATAAGAGATCAGCAACCTTTGGCTCCTGAAAGCCCTCAGCAGTGGTTCTTCATAACGATGGCCAAAGGTGATGACTGATTAGTGCTCTTAAATATAAAGGTCACTTTAAGGCTTGTCATCCAACCTTTGTTTTTGTTTATTCCTGCCATTTGTACTTAGAACTGCCTCAACAGATTTGCTTTAATTACGAAAAGGACAAAAGTTCTTCTGGTCATTTGTGCACAAACTGCTATCCTTTTTTTCCCTAATTAAATTGTCATTCATCAAACCTTTATTTCATTAATTTATTCTGATATTCTTCCTGAATATGGAAATTTAATTGAAATAATTGAAATAGCTTAAATTACCTCAAAGAAATACATTTTATATTCTTGTTGCTTTACAAAATTCTAATCTTTGGTAGCCATTGTAAACATGGTTGTGCTGGAAATAGATCCTGACCCTTGTGTTAGACCAGCACTGTTTTTATATAAGCAAACAGAGGCCTACTCTGTTTGCTCTGAAGTTTGTTAAAGAAAAAGAACGAACAAACATCATGTAGACCAAGGAAAACACAAAGTAAGTGAGGGATACAGTGGTAGAGAAGTTCAGATTACATAACAATATTGCAAGCTTTAAACATTTATGAGCTCTGTTAAATTATATGGCTATCCAGCTAAACTGAGCAGGGCGACCAAAGAGATCATTAATCAGAGAATGCAGCCTGGATTCCCACGGTAGCACTGGAGGAGCTGCAGGAATCCACAGCTCAAGAAGGAGAATCTGTAAACAGGACATTCATGAGTCACTTGCTCCTCAAATCTGGCTTTTATGGAAGAGTTGGAGGAATGCAACCATAAGGAAACATGACGTGCGATTAAAAGCTAACGATGGACATAATTTTGAACTTTCTATGGGCACTATGCACAACTCCACTACTTTCTGAAATAAAGTCATCTCTTTCGTTTCCTATCTTTTTCTTCTGAATGTATTGATTAGTCCAGGTGTGCGTGACCTCAGTTACCATGGTCAGAAACACCTGGATTAATCAGTTCACCCAGTAATGAAAGACAGGAAACAGAAGAGCTTGTCACTACCTTGATCCGTCACGGAAGCACGATCCGTCTTCATTTGCGCATCCACATATACATCGATTTAATTTTGTTAAAAAGACCTAAATTACATTTTTCCCTTCCCAAAAATAGTAAGTGCATTAAAATATAACATGTTAAAGGTTAATAATGTATTTCCTGAGAAAACAAATGCCTTAAAATCCTTTCTGTTTTATCAGTCGTCTCTGCCCGATCTGCACCAGAAACGTAAATCTAGTCTTTTTGAGTTTTATATTTTTGTTTCGTTTTAATTTTATGCTACATAGTGCGTAATCTAAAGAAAGAAACAACTAAAATGCAGATAAACATGGTTTAATCATATTTTTCTGGACTGCTATGTGCATGTCCGATGATGGCGCCAGAAAAGCAGTTTAACAAATAAAATGTAAAAAGCATCAAAATTTAAAAAGTCATTAAACATTTTTTAAAGATGTGTATTCACATTCTTTAGTGATTTTAGGATAGAAATAAGTAATTTTAGTACCATAATTATATTGTTTATGGACACCTGGATGTATTTATGTTCGTGCAGGACAGATCGTGATTCTGGGACGGATCGGGTAGTGACAGAGCTGCCTTATGTTCAGGAAGTAGTGGAGTTGTGCATAATGGCCATTGTCACTGCAATGCATGGTGAGGACAGCATCATCCTTTGGGTATGTGTTTTCCTTGCAGGGACTGCGAAGTTAGTCACAGTTTATGATAAGATTTCTGAAACTAATCATAGGGAAGCTGTAGTAGAAAACCAGTTAGAAGCTGCATAATAGTATTTATGGAAATAATTTACCTTCCTAAATGCAGAGTGAGGGCTACTAGTCTAGATTAGTTTAAAAAACAACTTTCTGTTCCTTCTCATTTATAATGATAAGCCTAATTAAGGAAAATGAAGAGGACCCTACACTGGATATGACTTCCTCCTCTGCTGCCCTCTGATAGTTACATCAGAGGTCGTCTGTACAGTGCCGTACAGCACCCTGTTAAAATGAAGAGCGAGTAAAATCAGTGTGTGCCAGCTGGACCACAAATGCCTTTTAGAAGTGGGGCATAAAACAAATGATTCGCAATTCCCTGCCCTCAAGGTCCCAATGTACAATCTGCAAGAACAAAAACCCACTGCCAAGTGATTTATTGAGGACTTTCTGGTTCATTTCACTCTTAGCTGACACGCATGCTTGAATGTTATGGGACAATTAGAGGTAATAAAAATGCTGCAAAGTGTTATGAAACCACGTCTGAGCGGGCTGTGTCACTCCTCCTTCAGATTGCTTATTAAATATTAATGCAAGCAGCAAAGTGCCAGCAGCTGGTACTGCTGGTGCTCTGTTTTCCAACAGCCTACACATCGTTGGAATGAATGTTTTGTCTGTTATATGTTCCTGCCACTTGGCCTTGTATATGAAGTAATTAAACATGCATTTTACTGGTTGTGTGGTTGCATGTTTTCCTCTCCCATTTTTTTCAAACTGCAGGATAAGTGAAGATGGTCTCCTCATCATTCAGTGTTTACTGCAAATTCTTCTAATGACCCTTAGCCGCTGATGACAATTTTGAGGCCTTGTCTGAGATCAGCCACTCAGTTTTTTTTTATTAGTATAAGTTTACCTCGTTCAAGCTGCCATGTTGGGTGAACAATGGTAAGTTCCTCGTGGAGTTCAGCACATTGATCTCTTCGCTGTCGCTGCAGCCTGCTGTTCCAGACAAAAGGGATGACCTCATTTTCAGCAGACATGTCCGGACATGTGTAATCTCACGGTCATAACAGTGACAGGCTGTCAAATGCTTGAGCAACAGGATATTCTTCAAGGTGATTTGCACATCAGTTTGTCACCTCCAGTTCTTTTGCATTGTTAGATTTGCCCTTCGCTTATTTTCTTTTCATTATTTGACAGCAGTTAACCATCACAGACCAGTAATTGTGATCTTGCCTGCAGGTTTTACTCCTCTTTATTGTTTATTATCGATTGATTGACTTTATTGATCTCACAGTGTAGAAATTTACTCGTTACTTCAGCTCAGATAGTCAAAACATAAGGAAGAAAAAGGTGTATGGGATATATACAGTATATACAGTGCATCCACATATGAAAGCTTGTTTTTTGTAGGATTATTATACATGGTTATTGCACAGAGTGTTTGCATGGTTTTAGTCCTACCTCATAGTGGGCTGAGTTGTTTCATCATCAGACCAGTTTTGAAATTTGACAAGAATGTATTAAATGTATTAAAAAAAAAAAAGTTCTCAAGTTTAGAGTTCTATCTTAACCTACATGGAAACCTGAAAAAATTATAATAAGCTCTAACTTAATTTATGCAGTGACTTTGATAAAGCCACACAAAGGCTAGACGGTTACCTGTGAAATCAAGAAGTCCCTTAAATGCTAAATATCTGTCAAACTATAAAAATAAAAAAAACTTAATTCATTGACTTCTACTTTCTTGATAAAGTTAGACATATTTTCAAAGCTTTGAGGCTCCACTCAGTGAGAAACAAATATGCACAAATAGAGAAAACCACAGACATATAGACGTAGATACCTCGTTGGGGACAGGTTCGCACATCGACTTCACTGCCATATTGAATCTGACAAAAAGTAGATGTCTGTAGTCGGTCAGCAGTGCAAGACCATTCTTTTTTAAGGTTTTTAGCTTGCATACAGTACAGACTGTTGTTTTCAGATATAGATGCATACATAGATTTTGAAGTATTGTATAGATATAGGTGTGATTATATAAAAATTGTTTTTCAAGATTATAGATGTGCCTTTGTATATCTATAGGTATATACTATCATCAATGCAAGATCTTGGTGAAAAATTAATGCAGCACTGGATGGAAATAAATCTTTTGACATTGCAGAAGCTTATCGAAACAATGAAACAGCGAATGCGTGCCGTAATCAAAGCTAAAGGCAGTCCAACAAAGTATTTGTGTGAATTGTGAATTACCTTTTTTTTTGGTGGCGAGTTTTTTTTTGGCCAGGCAGTGTGTATATATATGTGTATATATATATATATATATATATACACACACAATACACAATATCTATACTATATTTATATAAATACATATTTTTTTCTTGTTATTAAGCCAACATCAAAAGGAAAGGATTGTGCACCAATAGAAAAATAATTTACATAAGATGGAGCTAAGGTGTTGCAAGGTCCTCGTTGCTTCATGATAGCTCTGAAACTTGGCTTCTTCTTGACATTGCATTTTGATTTAAACAACAAACAAAAAAAACATTCAGCATTTATTTTAAAGAACAGACAAGTTTTTCAGTTCCAGATACAATGGACCAAATCCTTTTTTTCTTTCTTTTTTTTTTTTACAAGCCACACATTTTTTTTTCTTCCCGTTCAAATTAATGCAGAAACTCTAGTGTGTCGCATAAAATTTCAGTGTGATACATTTATGTTTGAGCTTCTAACACAACTTGACAGTCAGGCAAAATGATCTGGTTGTGCAGACCTATAAAAAAGCATTGCAAGTTATTCTTAGATCATAGAAAATGACAGCATAGGTTGCGAGATGGAGCAGAAACTTCCTAAAGCAGACAATGAGAGGGAATCCATTTTGAAAGCTGAAACAAAAACATGAGAGATAAATATAGTAGTTCCTAAGGTTTTCCTAGTTTTCATTCCCTCTCAAGCTTTTATATCCACACCCTTCTCTCCCTGCTCCTATTCTGCAAACATTAGCTTATGATTTCATTTTCAGCTTTTGTTGATGAAACCCAATAGAGGGGCTGTATTCATAGGAGTGCTA